CTATTTGTTCTAAGTAACTGAGCAAGTTCATTGTAGGTGATCTTCAGACATTAAACACCAAAAATTGTGACCAGTAGGCAATTGTCAGACAGTGCAGATTTTTTTTGGACTTGCATTATGTGAATCCTGTACCTTACACCAGGTTTTAAGTCTGGCTTCACAATTTGCACATGTTTCAATTTCCAAACACATTTTTAAGATCAGCTCTGGGGGAAGCTTGTTGGTGACACTTCGATAACATTTTTAAATGCCTCAAATGATATCTCTGATTCCTTGGGAGGAGGTTTATAGCATTTCCTCACGTATTCTCTCTTTTATGGTCAAATACTTGTCGATCTGAATTTGAAAGGTAGCTCTCTGCCATTTCACAAGGGGTGTTCTGTACAGTAGCAATCTCCTAAATTGATGTTTTCCTTTAATAAATAGGTGCATAAAGAAAATACAATTCATGCTTTAGAAATAGCATTTGAAATAGTACATACCTTTAGTCTTAAATTCATCTTTGATAAGTTAAAACTATGCAACTAAGTAAAATATTAAAAAGTCCTAAGTTGTACTGCAACAAAGCATCCAACAGTACAGCTTCTCTTACTATATTAGTATGTTTATAAGGGTATGTACATTGTAGGGGCTTTTGTAGAGAACTCTAGATAATCTGTGACCCATTGGGACTTCAGTTCAGAGATATTGCCTTACCAAATTCCTCAATACCTTCAACAATAGTAGGGCTTCTAATGTATTGCCTTCACTGGAAAAGTTCTTAAAAAATCAGGAAGGTATTCGGAGATCTCTCTTCCTTGAAAACAGCCCTTGTTGAATTGCATATGTAGCACAGTCAAGCATCAGGAGCTGTCCACAGGAAAAGTTTTATGGCATTTTATCTAATGCCATAAAATATGCACCTGGAGAATCAGTGTGGCCACAGCCTAAAATCTCTCGGGGATAATTATGGCTTTAGTTTAGCAAGATTCTGTCCAATAGGTGTAAGCAAATAAAGGACTGAAGTTGATTGGATTTTGCTGTGTTGTCTCTGGGCTTGAGCCTCACATAAAATTTTATAAAATTGTTATGTTACACCCAAACAAGATTTTTTTAAATAGTATGTAGATGTGCAATAAACCTCCATAGAAGGTATCAAACAGTTGGAAAACACACTTGTTTGATCCAGTGAGAGAAGGACAGAGAAATAAACAGACAAACCATAAACACAATATTGTTATTGCTATTTTCCAGTTCTTGCTATGGGAATCTTTCAATGTGTTATTTTCAGGACAAGCAAAGTTGGGCCTTTTCTTTTTTCTCTATGAGATTTCAGCTGTGGATCTATTTATATAATAATGGCAGGCTTCCAAGCCAAACATAATGGAATATGTGGCTCTCTTACTTTTGGGAATCAACATTTTGTTATTTTGATGTTTGATTTCTAAATTGATTTTTCCTTCTCTGGAATAATCTCAGTTAAGTTGCCCATCAAGAAAAATAGAAATACATTTGCCTCCCTCCTAAGCTCATTTTTTTCTCTTATCAATAGAGAGGTTTTTTTTTATTTTAGACTGGGCTAATACTAAATACTTTCCCAGATTATATCTGTGGTGCAATTACTTTTCTTTTCCTTGCAGGCACACTTTATGCAAATAGCTAATCAGGTCATGGTTGCTGTGTTCTTTCCAGACTATGGATGGAAAGTAATCAAGGAGAGAAGCAGCCTGGAATTAAGGAAAAAATTCCTAACAGTGAGAACAATTAACCAGTGGAACAGCTTGCCTTCAGAAATCATGGGTGTTTCATCACTTGAGGTTTTTAAAAAGAGATTGGACAGCCACTTGTCTGAAATGGTATATAGAGTGCCTGGACTAGATGACCTCCAAGATCCCTTCCAGCTCTATTCTATTCTACTTCTATTCTAGTGCAGGCAAAACACAGGCTCAAATCTTCATCCAACCATTAAGCTTACTAAGTTGATTGGGCTGGTCCTCCTCAGTCAGATTTATTGATTTATGTTTTAAATACCCCTTGGAATTTCTATTAATACACGGTGACCATGGGAAGGAAACAATAACAGCAAATGGTATCAGGAAGTATTTGTACAACTGATGCAATTCGTATTGTTTCCACAATGATACATGATGCTTATGGTACTGTTTTGAATCAAATATGTATATAGTGCTTATTTTCTTTTTTCTTAATATGAAATCAGCACTTATTGATTGGGTAAAGGGAAACATCTATCGTAGGGAGACAGAAAAACCAAAATGGAGTGGCTTTGGGGTTTTGGTTTTCAACACCTGGTGGTTTATCATCTTTGACTCTGATGTGTTTGGAGGTTCTCCTGAACTCATGGCTCTTGTTTGATGAGCAGGTGGCTAAGGGGTCCTTTGCACAGATTTGTCTTGTGCACCAATTACATGTTTTCCTGGGCGGGGAGGCCTCATGTCTTAGTCGCCTCTTAGCTGTGTTATTGCAAAGTGCTTTACATGGAGCTGCCCTTGAAGACCACTCAGAAGTCACAACTGGTCCACAACTCTAAAGTTACAACAGCTCACACAATATTGGTTCTGCATAGGTTCGTCCATATTGTAATTTTGTTGCGTGAGCTGCATTGGTTTTTTTAATTTTATTTATAGGTTTCATGCTTGTGTCATCTGCTCAGAGTTATTTAAGATGGGTGGCCAGATAAATTGTTTAAATAAATAAATATTCACCACCATCATTTTTATAAGGCATGTTTCAGATATAAGCACATATTATTAAACCCTTGCATACACTGTTAGTAGTCCTACTATGTGTTTCTCTGTGGTTATTTGAAATGCTAGATGGGGGTGGGGGAGTTAGGCTTTACCATGTGATTTTGTTTTAGTGTGTCCATTAAACTCCAATATACAACTATCAGAATCACATGCTGTTGTTTTCCCTGAACTCTACTAATATGTAGCTAATATGCAACAAGGGATTTAAATGTATTTTCATTAAAATAACTCTTGCATGTAGACAATTATTGTGTTAAGAGGCACGGTTTTGATAATAATCTCTATTGTATGTGAGTGGTTCCACCTTCAGACATCCAGGCCTCCCTTCTCCAGGGACATAATGATGTGGTACAGTCCAGAAAAAAAAATTCTGCTTCTCCTGCATGCAAAGATCAGTTTTAGGAGTGATAATGGAATTTTATGCAGGAATTTTATGTTCCTGATTCCTCCAGTATGTTAATAAAATAATCAAAGTTTCTGTTCAGTACTTAAAAAGGAAACTGAAAGCTAGTTACACAAAGCCTGAACTGTTCTTATGTATTTCTCAAGGAAGTTTTCTCCCATCTGAACTTTGTTATAAATTAATAGTGTATTGCTGGAAGTATTCATTTGCTTATATAGCAAGCTCTGGCCATATAAGGGAATAAAGTGATTCAGAATTCTTGGCGAGTTCATAAATAAATACTCTCTGGAGAATCAAATGGAACAGACCTAACTGTGTGGAAATTACTGTGTTTCAATAGCATTAAAACAAACATAAGGTAAAACAATGTAATGTAGAGGATGGAGAACTAGCCTCCTGTTGAATCCAATCCAATCCAATTTAACCCAACAAACAAGCTTCCATGTTCTGCTTCTTCAAGGGACACAATCCCAGATTATCATGTTGCAAGTTGTTTCCTTATGGAGACTTTCCATTCTATCACAAAGAAATAATTATGAACATTTTTTTCACTAGATTTATTAGTCCCATCTCCCCCCCTCCCCCCAGCAAGTCTTTAGAACAAAGTATACACTAGATTTAGGTTAAATTTGCACATTGTTTTAAGTTTGGTCTTTTCATAGCACAAAAATAAAACATTAATTGACTGGCTTTGCATAACACTTTAAGCCATAAACCAAACAAACCCCATTCTGGCTTACTATTATGACTGAACTGAATCCCAGAGACTTCACTTCTGTTGCACCAAATTACTGCTGACAGATCCCCCTTCCATGTATTCATCTTGCCTTTCTGTTTTTCCATTAGATCATGAAGCAAAGATTCAATCAGTTAAATGTTGATTGTCTGTGTTAGAGAGATTTGTTTTTAAAGTTTTAAACAAATAGAAGTGAAGAGGTGTTTTTCTCAGGACTGAGGAATTTTGATCCAAAACAGTATAGAATGACAACGTTGTATGGACTGGACATCTGCTACACCTCAGTAGGAAATAATGTAAATTTACTGCCATTTTTGTGGTGAGTGGAGGGCAGATTTATTTGGCTCCTATACGTGTTCTCAGATTCTTTTTGTTTCTTTTTTAGATTTAGTTTGTTAGATTTAGTGTGTTTCTTTTTTAGAGCTTTCACTAGCTGATCGCACAGATCTATTGCAATCAAGTCCTTGAACTTTTCTTTCATTTGGATGACTTTGCATTGTCTACAGCAGCTTAATCTGCCTTTTTTTTTAAATTAAAAAATGCTAGCATTCAAAAGTTAGGCAAGTTACCAAGTTCAGGGCTGAAACATGAACTCTGTTGCAAAAGGAATTTGCATGGGTACACTGTGGTAGCTAAGATACAGATAGGACAAGAAAGACTTCTTGTGTCAGGCAACTTACTTTCATAGCTACCTTTTAATCTTTTGTTGGCTACTTTTGTATCTAACCTGCTGTTCCCATTTTGAAAAAAAAGATTTATTAAGGGTGAAATGAAAGAAACTGCTGTCTTGGACACAATAACTGAAAGTGTCCCAGGAAGCTGTCAGTTTGGCTTTCTAATTTATCATCGCTCTTTCCAATCTATGCTTCACATTTTTTTTGGGGGGGGGGATTTTTCAAGAAATATATCTTCCGTTTTTTGGCAATGACCTTTGCAGAAATGGAGGTGAGCCAAGAGTAGTACAACCTAGAAATCTAACAGATTTATGATTCAGAAAGGAGTAGTCCAGATCCAGATAATGTAAGCAAACACTGTTCTTAGCAAACAGAAGCAGGTAAATTGCCTTTTTAAAAAAAGACTAGAGGCTTTTTCAGAGGCATCAGTTTTACAAGAGAAATCTAGTCAAGTTGACTGCTGTTAATGTTGGTTTCTCTTCTAGGTTTCCATCTTCCAGTTTGAAATGAACTTACAGTGATTGCATGCCCATAAAAGCATGGAACCTCTTAAAACTTCATTGGTACCAGAAGAACAATCTTCTACAGAGATTGATGATCGTCATTATTCATTACAAGGTAAGCTTTGTACCACAAAGTATATTTATTGAAGTTTTTATGCAGGAGATGTTTACGGTCAAAGCCTCATTAGAAAACTATTTCAGATCACAGGATAGACTTAAAATAAAGTAAAATGAATAAGATTAATCTAACTTGGTGTCTTGCTTCTGATCATAATCAGCTGGATTCTTCCAGCAAAGAAATATGTTGTCATTTGAATACTGATGTTGTGCTAAGCTGTATTGCTGTTTGTTTGGTTGGAGATCAGAGCATAGACATTATTTTATTCAAAGCTAAGAGCTACTTGTTTCTCTTAAGGCATGCCAAGTGCATCATTTCAAAAACAGTGGCTAAAGTTATGTTAAATATTAAATTTAATATATTTGAAATGGAAATGAAGTGCTAATATATCAATATGTGTTGAATATTCTCTATGCTCCCTAACATTCTGTATTATACATTTTTAGAAATAAATTTCACAAAATTGTAAACGTGTGAATTTATACTCTGAACCTTCATTTAATAGCATTAGTATCAATTGTTTCCTCTTATATAGAATGTATTGGTGGTTCTATTTCATTAGTTGAAAAACCTAATTTGCCTTTTGAAGAGGAATGATGTTGAAATGGAGTAAATTGGTGAAACTTTAAAAGAAGTGAGCCAATTCCGGTCCATTTGAAGTGGTGTCTCTGATATATCCAAACAGGGGGGTGGGGCAAGAGGGAACCTTTCGCAGGACATGCCTAAACTTTAGAGGAGGATCTTTGCATAAGCCCAATAAAATTTGCAAAGTGCTCTTTTCAAAGGTTTTTCACGACCCTAATAGAAATAATTTTGCTTTCGTACTCTTGCTCTTGTGAAGATTCATCAAAAAAAAAAAAAATTCCAATGTTCAGAAATCCTCAGCCCAAGTACTTTCCTGTTTTGTACTTCTTGAATGCATAGAGTGGAGGTGCTCAATATGAAAAAGCAGATTGGAAAATGGGATGTTTCTTTATTTAATTTTATTTTATTTCTGAATGACATTACAAGTAAACATTGTAACCTTCTGAGCAGTATGCATACTGAAGGCAGAATGTCACCTGCGGCTGAAAAAGATCTCTGACCATAAACCTGGGGAACCTTTGCAAACATTGCCGAGAATATGCTATGCTATATGGATGAACAATCTATTCTATTGTAAATCAATTCCATGTTAACTTTAAGAATATGAGATGCAAGTTGGGTATTCCTTTAATCAAAATGCAATTTCATTCCTCCTGCCAAAATCATGGATTTAATATATGAACAAGATCATAACAGGTCGTGGTTACCTTTGTGTATAGTGTCTAAATATAGTTTCCTTAAAGATGATTTAGTGAATTAACTACGATTAATTGGCTTCATAACCAAAATGTATGTGATCAGGGTAAGATAATGATTAAATTTGTTATTTGTATTCAGTGATTAGTTCGGTTTACTGAATTCTGTCTGCTTCTGAATTGCCAAAAGAAACTGGACTTACACTGGGCTAAAATGACTAGATAAGCAAGATATTTTGAACAGATTGACAGAAATATTATTTAAATCACTCAACATGGCAAATCATTATTTCCAATTTACTCTTATGTGAAGCCAGTGTAGTGGTATGAAAACCATTTGATGAAGTTTATATGACATGAGGCTCATATGATATATTAAGACAACAAATTGTGCCTTTCGTTGTATTTAAGTACAATGACAATAAATATTATACTTATACTTGATTGATCAACTATGGATAAAACAATGTGTTAATCAGTGATGGGTTCTGGATCCCATTGCAACTGGTATGCTGCGACAAGGCCAGGCATCCACCACCTGCAACGATCCAGCTACTCGGCAGAATGTCACACAGGTGCCGTATGGTGCTCCCAGCAGTCACCGGTATGCCCGTATGGGGCGTACCGGCCGTAACCCACTACTGGTGTTAACCCAGTATACCATATTTTTGGAGTATAAGATGCACCAAGGTTTTGAAAAGGCAAATTTAAAAAAAAAAGTTTTTGCACTCTGCAAACCTCCCAAAACCGGCCCGTTTTTCATTATAATGGGCCCATTTTTTTTTCAAAAAAAGGGCATGAATAGCCTTTAGGAGACTTGTAGAGTGCTCCGGGGGAGGGGGGTAAAAACAAGCAAAAAATGGCCTGGTTTTTGCAAAAATGGGCCCATTTTTTTTTAAAAAAAGGGCATGGATAGCCTTTAGGAGGCTTAGAGTGCTCCTGGAAGCTGGAGGGGCAAAATTAAGCAAAAAATGGGCCATTTTTTGCCCAATTTTGCTCCCCAGCCCCCAGGAGCTCTCTGAAAGCCTCCTAAAAAGCTATGCACAGCCATTTTGGTGAAGGGGACAGGGTTTCGGGAGGCAAAAAATGCTGTATTCAGTGTATAAGACGCACCCAGATTTTCAGCCTCTTTTTTGATGGAAAAGGATGTGTTTTATACTCCAAAAAATACGGTATATAAATATGCCTACTAAATTTACTCTTGAGCTTGTTTTTTTTAGTTCAAAAGCTAGGAATTAAAATTTTTATGCTAGTAATTGCAAAGGAGGGATAGAGCAATCTATAAAATCTTTGACAACTTGCTTGCTCACCTGCATGGAATTCTAGTTGCTTTTGGCTATTAGGAAAGTTGCAAGCCTGTATCTACATGCTAACAATGAAGAAAGAGTAACAGAGCAATTGTTTGTCATCTTGCTTAGTCACCTTCCCGGAATTGTGGTTGGCTAGGAAAGTGGATAAGCCCAAGCCTACTATAAGTGATCTAATAAATCAAAAGTTTTTTTTGGTATATAACTTGACAGTATCTGTCTTCCTATACACACCTAACATTTGGAAGAGAAGGAAAGTGCAGTTCAAAGAAAAACTTTAATCCTAGTTATAAATACATCCCCACCTCATTGCAAAGAAATGTGAAAGAGCTGTATAATTTATCAAGTTGTTATTGTGATTTTCCTAGCTGATTTTCATGAATGGAAATGCAGACTTTATGCTTTTCCTTGTAAGTTTTTTTAACTATAAAAACTTCTGTAAATAAAAATCAAACATCAAATCCACATGTTCATATTGTATGTATGTATGTGTGTATGTATGTATTATAAATACTACTAATATGGTGCAGTGGTTAGAATGCGGTACTGCAGGTTGACTCTGCCCACTGCTAGGAATTTAATCCTGACTGGCTCAAGTTTCCATTCTTCTGAGGTCAGTAAAATGAGGACAATGTGCTGGCATTTGTAAACTGCTCAGAGAGTGCTGTGGAGTGGCATATAAGTGTAAGTGCTATTGAAGTTATTTGCTGTGGTACAGTAGCACCATCGTTTAATATTTTTCTTTAGAAAGGGAAATCAGTTCAGGTGTGTCTGCTACCACACCCTCCTCCTCAAAAAAAAAAGTAAAGTCATAAATGCCAAGGATGAAGAAACAGTAAATAAATTCCATGATGACTTATAGCATTTTCCATTTGATTGAGGTACTACGCAACCACACTGGATTGAGAGAAATATCTGAAAGGCAGATTGTGTGTTTTAATCTGCTTCTCCTTAGTCTGAAAAAGTTTGGATGTCCTTCCTGGAGTCAGAGAGCTAAAATGTGGAAGCCAACAGCCTCATTGATATAGGAAAATATGAGAGGCATCATGGGGAAAGTAAGCCAGGCTACACCTAAACATTATGGGTATGGATAGCCGTTTGTGCAGTGGGACTAAAAAAAGTGCTTTCTTCCTTTTTACATTACCCAGGGGACTTCTCAATTCACCTGGAACACTTTTGTGTAAGCTTGGGATAATACGGAGAGGAAGTGGAATCTGTTCTGCTATCTGGCAACAATGGTTACAATTTGTAGTTGCATGCTCTTGTTTGCAGTGTATGAAGGAATAAATTAATATTTCTGATGTTGTGCCACCTGTACAGTTACTTTATGGATAAGAAGCAATTTTACTTTATGCTGCTTCTTGGGTAATGATTTAGAGTAACCTTCAAATGTCAAAAATTAGAAAAGGCAACAATATTGCAGTACTTAAGAAACAAATAGAAAAGAAAGAACATTCACCCATAGCATTCTCACAAAGAAGGCCTGGGTGGAAAAGTAAATCTTCAATAAAGGCATTGCGGGTAGTCCTTAACTTACAACAGTTTGTTTAGCGACCATTCAAAGTTACAATGGCACTTAAAAAGTGACTTATGAAAGTATTTCACACTTATGACCACTGCAGCATTCCCAACGTCACATGATCAAAATTCAGACACGTAGTGACTGGTTCATATTTATGATGGTTGCAATGTCCTGGAGTCATGTGATCACCTTTTGTGACCTTTGGGCAAGCAGAGTCAATGGGGAACTCTGATTCACTTAACAACTGTGTCACTAACTTAACAAAGTTAAGTGATTCACTTAACTGTGACAAGTAAGGTTGTAAAATGGATCAAAATTCATTTAACAAATGACTCACTTAGCAGCAGAAATTTTGGGCTCAATTGGTTGTAAGTCAAGGACTACCTGTACAGTAAGTTCTCATGGATTTCAGGGGAAAGAATATTCCAGAAAGCAGGTAACATCCTAGAAAGATTCCCTATCAGTAACCATAAGAGATCATTTTCAATCACAGCACACATAGAATAAGACCTCTTCTCATAAGCTTATTGATCATTCAGTTCTGCAATGGACAAAACAGTCTGGAAGTTAGACTACTACTACTTATTTTACACTTTATAAACCCAAAGAAGAGCTTTGAACCTGGGTTGGGAATTAATTGGCCACTAATGCAGTTGCTTGACCATAAGCAGTAACATCTGTGTAAATGATCCCCTTCTCAGCAAACGAATAATTGCATTCTGCATCAATTGCAGAATATATCATTCTACTGTAATCTCAGTGTATGGTTACTGGTGTACACCAGCCAAAGCTAGTAATAGGCAGCAGGCAGACTAAGGATAGACATTGTTTTTGGGATGCAACATTGCTTACAAGTTCACTGTCCATTGTTGAATCTGGATGATGCTA